CTGTGGTTTTGTCATCTCAACTGCCACTTCCAATACAGGGCCCTACCATTTGGTCTCTTGTCTGCCCCCAGGGTCTTCACCAAGATCCTGGTGGTCCTGGCAGCAACTTAAGATTGGCACCGGTACACGTCCAGTGTTACCTGGACGATATCCTTATCCAATCAACCTCCATCCCGACCGCCCAGTCAGATCTGGCCCTTACGATCAGGACTCTTCAGGACCACGGATTCTTGATAAATTTTCAGAAAAGCAAGACGGTCCCCTCAACCCGCCTCTTACACCTGGGTGCAGTAATAGACACAGACTCTTGTCATGTGATCCTGTCAAAAGACTGTCAAAACAGCATCCGAGACCTGATTCTCAGGGTCTGCAGGGAGTGGGTAGTGACACTAGCTTTGCTTTCCCAGCTACTGGGGAAATTAATATCTTGCATAGCGATAGTGCCTTGGGCCAGACTACACTCTCGGACTCTCCAATGGTTCCTGCTCCTGCTCCAGAGACTGTGTACCAGTTCCTCCAACCAACTGGTAAGGGTTCCCCATCAGGTCCTCTGCTCCCTCGACTGGTGGACATCCTCAGCCATGCATAAGGGGACTCTCTTCAAAGAGCCTCACCAAATTCTTCTGACCACGGACACAAGTCTCTTCGGCTGGGGTGTACACTTCCAATCTCAGATGGCTCAGGTTCAATGGTTGCGGTTGGACCTGAAGCACAACATCAATTGCTTGGAGCTCAGGGCGATCCATCTGGCTCTCCAGCACGTCCGCATCGAGATTGGGGACAACATGTGCTGCAAAGGCTCACGTGAACCTGCAAGGGGGCACTCATTCCAGGTCCCTCGTGACGGAGGCTCAGTCGTTGGGTTCCTGGGCAGAGGTCAACCTACTTTCCATCAGGGCCGAGCACATTTCGGGAGAGGCAAACCGGCAGGTGGACTTCCTCAACAGGTCAATAGTGACCATTCAGAGTGGCGGCTGCACCCGGATCTCTTCACAGAGATCGCAGCAGGTTTGGCCATCCAATCATAGACCTGTTTGCCTCGCTGGAAAATGCCCAGCTTCCCAGATTCTTTTCACGCTTCCCCTCTCGGGGGGGCGGAGGGGATGGACACTCTACACAGCCCACGGCCACAGAGCCTATTGTATGCCTTTCCTCCTTTCCCTCTGATTCCAGCAGTTACCAGGAAGATACTACAGGAACAGGCAGAGTTAATATTCATTGCACCTCACTGGCCGAGACGACCGTGGTTTGCAGACCTGGTGAGCCTTTCCACAACTTCTCCGTGGTAGATTCCCGACAATCTCAGAGGTTTAACACAAGGGGCTCTACAACATCCAGATCCCAATGGCTCCAGTTGGCTGCCTGGCGCTTGAACGCTGCACCAACTCAGAAGTCATACTTGTCAGGAGTGATTGACATGATTCAGGCTGCCAGGAGACCAGCGACTAACCGCATTTACGATCACACTTGGCGGAATTTCTGCCACAGGTGTGACAAGAACCACTTGAGTCTCTCCGAAGTGATCATCCCAAAGGTCTTAGATTACTTGTTGGAGGTCATCAATAAGGGGTTGTCGCCCAACACCATTTGCAGGCAGGTAGCGGCTCTCTCCACGGTGCTCTCCTGGGACAGATCAGAATCCTTGTCTCAGCATCCCATGGACTGTTTCTTTCTCAAAGGAGTGACAAATAGCAGACTGCCTGTGGTTCACAGGTATCCCTCCTGGGAGCTACCCCAGGTTCTGCAGGCCCTAACTGCCTCATCCTTTGAACCCATTAGAACAGTGTTTCTTAACCTTGACAATTTTAAGGCATGTGGACTTCAACTCCCAGAATTCCACAGCCAGCAATGCTGGCTGTGGAATTCTGGGAGTTGAAGTCCACATGCCTTAAAATTGTCAAGGTTGAGAAACACTGCATTAGAACCTGTTCTTTGTGATCCTTGTCACTCAAGGTTGCCTTCCTGATAGCTATTACCTCCGCCAGATGCATCTCGGAGCTGGCCGCTTTATCTGTCAGGAAAGACCTGTGCACATTTCATGAGGACAGAGTGGTTCTCAGGTTGGATCCTTCCTTTGTCCCTAAGATAAACACAGTGTTTCATAGGGCACAGGAGGTTATTCTCCCAGAATTTTGACCCCGTCCGTCACATGACCTGGAACAGCAATGGCACATGTTGGATGTACGCAGGGCCTTGCACTGTTACATCAAGTGCACGGCGGCCTTTCGTAAATCAGAAGCCCCATTTGTCTCATTTCAACCTTTTTCCATAGGGCAGAAGGTATCCGCCTCTACCATAGGCAGGTTGATCAGGATGTGCATAGCAGGGACGTATGTATATGACGGCACATTGCACATGCAGTGCTGCCACATCTGCAGCGTGGGCAACACAAGCATCTATAGAGGATATTTGTAGGGTGGGGACATAGTCCTCACCTTCCCCTTTTATTAGGCATTATCGATTGGACAAATTTGCATCTGCAGAGGCTTCCTTTGGTCGACGAATACTGCAACAGGTAGTGCCAGGACCAGGGACACAAGTCCCAACTGACTCCCTCCCATAGGGACAGTGGGAGCTTTGGTAAGTCCCATTGGTGGATTCTTCATCCATCATGCTGAGAAGGAGCCTTGGCTTACCTGAACACCTCTTCTCAGCATGATGATGGAGAATCTAAGCCCATCCCTTTAGAGGTCAGTTAGGCCCTGTGTCAGGGGGTTGCTCCTTTTTCCTTGTCTTGGGAGTCATCACATCGGACTATCGTCATTGGCTCCGCTGTCATTGAAACTGGGAGGTACCAGGCCAGGACAGGTGTGACAACTTTGACAACTTAGTCTGATTGGGCAGGAGGACTGAATTAACCCATTGGTGGATTCTCCATCATCATGCTGAGAAGAGGTGTTCAGGTAAGCCAATGCTCCTTTTCACTGAAATGGTCCACCCTAATTGTTTATTAGATTTGTAACACATTTACTCAATCAAACAAATACTTTTAATAAACAAATTTAATAAGCAAATTCCTTATTAAACTAATAAGGAATACACCAAACTATTATTATTCATTGAAGTATGGCATTCAGTTTAGAGAGGGAGTCTCTAAATAAGTGATATGACCCATTATGAGAAGCCATTTCATGTTTTGGTTCTGATTTGTCTTCTGGTCACTTGTTTAAAAATAGAGAAGGAGAATAGTAAAATTAATTTTATGCATATTTTCACTGCAAAAACTGTAGGATAGGCCTAAGCAGAATTTCCCCCAAAGTTCCTGAAAAACAGATGAATGACATTGATAAGCAGTCTGCTATTAATTTTCACTGACAGACTAAAAATAGCTAAAACGAACAGGGCCATTGGTTTAGATCAGGCATGTCAAACTGCCAGCCCATGGTTTGAATGCGTCATGCCAAAGCCGCACCCACCCCATTGCCAGCAATGGGGAAAAAGTCACGACACATCGCGCGATGTCACGTGACGTCGCAAGTTTGACATGCCTGGTTTAGATGATTTAAAAGAAATTAATAAATAAGAAATACATGCTGGGGAAGTCTTTTAATGGGTACAAGTCATGATAATTATACATTATATAAAGCTAGCTTTGCTCTAAATGTCACTTGATTTGGAATTCAAAGGATGAGAGTTATTTTCATATGGGTGTACTTTAGGAATTCCTCTAATATCTTGAGAGCTGTTAGGATGGGGGATTGTGGTGGTTCATGAAGTTAGGATGCTGGCCTGTCGATCAGCAGGCTAGCATTCAAGACCCAGGTGAGCTCCTGTCATATGCTCCAGCTAGCAGTTTAAAATTGGATGACCGCAAGTATATAAATGGTTACCACTTTGGTGAGCAATTTAATGGGGACAAGGAAGGTGCATCCAACTGGCATCCCCTAGGCAACGGTGATGTCAATGTTCAATTCTTTCAACCTGGAAGCACTTTGGTTTTCCCAACTAACTGTAGTAATTTGTTATGATGATGTAATGGAATGTGTGGGTGAACTTGGGAAATGAGAGGAAGAGATGCTGCTAGGAAACAGACAAGAGCAGAAGGAACCCTCAGTGGCTTAACAGTCAGAGAAAGAAACTTAGGAAGGACCCGCCCTGGTCAGATTGTAAGATTGTACTTTCAGACTTGCAAGATTCAGTTGATGTAGCCTTACAATAAAGCAGAATTTGTTCATCTAATCATATTTCCTGTCTAGTTTACCTGGGAGGGCTTATAGGTAAATATTGATGTGGAATTAATTAATAAACGCCTTTAATCTGATCCAACCAAGTTACAATTATAGGAAGTAACTGTAGCTCAGATCAAAATTGTGAGAGAGTTCCTAGTTTTGATGGAAATTCTGCTGACATTTCAGATTATAGTTATAATACATTATCAGTTGAACCTAGCAAGTAAATAATGGCCAAAGATTCAGTCAATTAATAGAAAAAACTCCAGTTTTAAGAAAGTTTCAGTTTCTATCCATTCAGTAGAAGCCAATGTGTAAAATAAAAGCAAAGTGTGTGTGTTGTGCTGAAAATAGTAGGAAAAGAAGTACAGGTAATCCTTTACAACCACAACTGAGCTCTAAATTCTGCTGTTAAACAAGGCTTCTGTTAACTGAGTTATGCTTCAATTTACATCCTTTTTTGCCACAGTTGTTGAACAAATGACTGCAGTTGTTAAGTGACTCATGTGGTTGTTAAGCAAGTCTGGCTGCCCCTGTTGACTTTGCTTGTAGTGTCAAACTTGCAATGTCACATGACATGTCGTGACGTATTGTGACTTTTTTCCATTGCCGGCAATGGGGTGGGCACAGTTTTGCCATGATGAATCTGACCTATGGACTGGCAATTTGACACTTCTGTATTAGATATTTGTCTTGTCATAAAGTAATAAAGGTAGAAGAAGAAAAGAATCTAAAATAATACCTGTAGCTGGTATTTGTGAAGTCATGCCAAAGGAAGATTTTGGCTATCTCTGAGCTAACTACCTTTCATTCTTTTTACATGTGTTTCAGAGATGGTGAGCAAAGTTTAAGTAGATCAATGGTCAATAGCTCCGATAAAATAAGCCGGAAGGGTGGCTCTTCAGTGTTCCAGCATTCTGTAGAAAGATGGAAAATCAATTCCTCGTTGGTGTTGGAAATAAGGTTAGTATCCTAAATAATATAGCTTGCAGCTTTGATGAGACTGGGAAACCTTTTTTATTTAGCCTTGTACATTGTGTTGGATAATTCTAGAAGATGAATAATCAAAAAGTCACAAAGCAACTTTGACAGAATGCTAGATGTTAAACTGAAATAGCCTCTCTGCCTTTTGGCTATGAGCAAGTGTAGTATGTGTTTAATGTGTGCATACATTTAATATTTCAGAGTTGATGAAATAGAAATATGAAAGTAAATAATACTGATAACGTTTTGCTTCTTAGCTAGAATTTATATTCTACATTTAAAGCAGGACATATACTATTGATATTTGTTGCTCATCAACTTTTTAGGAGCCTCTAGTAGCCACTGTTGAAGATTAACCTTTTTTCTTTTGGATAAGTCTTTGCACTGTCCTTGCAAAGCACTTCTTTTCAGAAGTTTCAGAAGTCAAAAAGTATACTTTCTACTATAGCACTCTTGTTATGTTAACTACATGATCCCAAGCTGTTCCTCTTAATTGCCATCAGGAAAAGAGTAAAAAGCAGAAGGTATAGTTGAAACTACAGATGTCTCTAGAATTGTGTATTCAAGGGACCCAAACAGTTGTGAAGATGGGGAGAAAAATATCTTTAGAAATAGTCAAGATCACAGCTAATGGCGGATTTGGGGTAAAAAGTTACTTTCTGCTAAACTATGAAGGAACAGAATATTTTATTAGAGGTATCTAAAAATCACTTGTCTGGTGTGAAAGCGAAGGAGAGAATATTTTAAGTTTTTAAAGTTTTCTTTATTCACAATCCTTATAAAATAAATCAGGGGTCTTCAAACTTGGCCCTTTTATGACTTGTGGACTTCAACTCCTAGAATTCCTCAGCCAGGCATACTGGCTGAGGAATTCTGGGAGTTGAAATCCGTAAGTGATAAAAGGGCCAAGTTTGAAGTCCCTTGAAATAAATTCTATCCTGTTATGGGATGCTATTATAAAGGACCTATCAATTGCTGATCTGAATATCTTGAGCAATGAGTGAATAGTATATAGCGTCCATAAAAATTAGTTCAGGTAGAGAACTAGATGATATGGTGAGATCTCTGGATATGCCATCAAATGTAGTTGCATCACCTTCCTCTCCCAAATTAAAATGCCTTGCCTTGAGATTGAGAACATGGATTAAACAGTCATAGCATACTTGAACAATCTCTACAAAATAACAACAGCTAGTAGGAGATGTGTATAACTTTGATAATCAAAGTGAAGGACCAAGATTTGAATGAATCACCTCCTTGTAGCTGCTTCACAAAGCAATATGATCACTTTCTTCTAATAAAGAAAAAGTATGTTGCTTTATCTTGTTTAGAGCCCCTTGCAGCCTGTTCTTTTGGAACTCATGCAACTCATGCAATGAAAGTAGGCTGAGAGCTACTTTTTTGAGAGAAATCCTCCAGGTGAAAGCCAAGACAAGCCTTCCCCTGCAGTGCTGGTGAAATTGATTTCAGGCTGGGCAGGTTAAGCACACAATGCTGGCATTCCCTTATTGAGCTCTGGAGCTTTTTGGCCTAGAGCAGTGTTTCCCAAACTTGGCAATTTTAAGGCATGTGGACTTCAACTCCCAGAATTCCACAGCCAGCGTTGCTGGCTGTGGAATTCTGGGAGTTGAAGTCCTCATGCCTTAAAATTGTCAAGTTTGGGAAACATTGGCCTAGAGTATCTTTGGGCCGCTTGCCAGAAGCTTTGGTGAGACTGCAGAGGAGATACTACTTATCTCCTTCAGGCATTGCTGCAGAGAAATGCTGCTCAGCTTTGATCAGCATAGTGAGGCTGGATTGTTTCATTGAGTGCCTCTGAATCACCCATCTTGGAGATTCTTTGATGGGTGCTAGGACAAAACTCTGAAAAGAAATCATCTAGATTGGTTTGATGAAGTGAATTATGCTGTGTCTAGGCTTCCGAGAAGTGAAATCACATTGCTTTCATGGTATTAATCATAAAAGTAAAATGTATCTTGATTCCTTTTGGAGATTTTTGGGTTGGTGGAAAGCAGAAGGATGTAGGCCAAAATTGGTAAAAGATGAAAAAAGTAGAAGTCTTATATCTATATATATAAGTATGTATGGCTATTTCTCCATTACTATGCTTAAATTGTATGATTCTTTTCTTTTAATTTAATTTTTTTAAATTTCAGCATTGTTAAATCATTTGATGAATTTTTTTAAAAAAAATCACATAAAATTGAAACATTGAATTGAAATATATTTATAACTAATATATTTAATAAGCTGCTTTTGGTTTTTAATTTTTTGTTAAACCTTATGAAAACCTAATCTTAACCTTTTTTTAAACTAAATTCTCAAAGCATATTCTGTGGAATGACATATGGCGATTTCAGTGGAACATTATCAGTATATTTGGATTGAATATAAACCTGCACATGTTCTTTCTACACACACACACAAACACAAACACACATTTTTAAAACATATCGACCAGAATGTTATTTTGTTAAAAGTCCTATTTCGTTTTCAGTTGAATAACCACAAAGGCTCTCACATGATTAGTAGAGGTGGAGATTTCCTTTTGTTCTGAAAAAAGGAAACAGCAAAAAATCTTCAAGCTAAGTTGAAAAGCATGTGTGCAGCTTGTGGTTTTCTGGCACTGCAGGTTCAATTGTGAGATAGGTAACATTTGTAACCGATATATAGAACTTCATCATGACTTATTTTTCATTTGTTAATAGCAAATGTGGCATATACAGTGGAATAACTGTTAGCCACAAAAATCCAAACAAGTAGAGAGAGGAATCCTTAAAACTATTTTCTTTCATCTAGAAGTGAGCAGAAAGAGGGAGCGACAGACATCTTGAATAATTCACCAAAGTCCCAATATTTTTTAATTGTCTAGCTCTCTGCAAACTCTGGCTGTTATTCTTTTTCCATGACTTTGCTCTTGGGAATAATCTGTCCAGAGCCCTTACCCTAACTCTCAAAATATGTTCTCTGTGTATTCTCAAAATAGTTTTTGTTTGATTTTGCAAATCATTTCTTCACCACAAGACTCCTGACAAAGTAATTCTAGACCATGTGAGGAAACATACTGTCCTACCATTTTTTATCAAGTAGAAAATGATGCAAACACTGGCAAACACTGATTGATGTTTACAGACATAGACACCTGTCTCCATCCTATCCGGGCATCTAGTGACTGAGCTGAGGTATAAAAATGAGGAAATATGCAAGATGGTACAATTACGTACATATTGTCCCTTGTGAAAGTGAGGTATTTCTGTGGTTATACCATTGTACAATAACATTATTTTGGAATCGCTCAGTGTGTTATGGATACTACAAATGTATCTCCCCCTCAACTAATCATAAAGAAGCTCAGTCTTTTCAATGGCATTGTGCTACTCTACTTAGTGTGGATTTCGGCAACGCAAAGAAGTGTGTGTGTGTGTGTAAGATCAATGGGTAGAACCTTAGCAACTGGTATCAAAATGGATTGGGGGAATTCTGGTTTGTAGGAGTTGTCTGACCTTAGGTTTTCACTTGCACATGTTTCATGACCTGCCTAGGTAATAACACCTGTGCTGGGAACTTGGAAAGTGAGGTATGGTTAGTTGTGGCATATATAGGTGCCCACTTAAGCCTTCAAACCTGAGCTACAAATATTGTCTACCATTGCAATTCTGCAAGAATATAGAATAACAAAATTTGAATGGTGGTCTTACTCATGCTTTAAATGCCATTTGAATCTTCATTGAGTTTATAGTATCACAGGGAGCTGCTTGTTTGAAGAAAATAGTTTGTTGTTAGGTGATGCAGGAGACATTTTCCTAATTCCCATTTCAGCCAGACTTTCCTTTCTTTGGTGTGAACAAGAGAATGTAACTTCTTAAGTTCCAAAACCAAAAAGTACATAGTAATTTAACATTAGGGAAAAAAATAAGCCCACCTCTGTAACAGTCTATACATTTTACACATTTTTCTGTTTATAATAATTAGTTTCCAAGCATGGCCAGGATCATTGTGAAAATAATATTAGATTCACATTTCTATGCTAAGCAGTGGTTTAACCAATGGATTGTTTGATGTGCAATGTAATTCAATTGTAGCAATATTGTAAATCATTCTATGTATTGTCTCATGTTAAATATTAAATGCTATTTTTATACAAATTAGCCCAAGATCAGTTAAACCATCAGCCTCAGCTTTAAAAAGACGGGTCCAGAAAGAAAAGAGTTCACATATTTATTATCTGTGATTTGTTCTATTTAATGAAGTGATTTCATTTTTAGAAAAATAATCAGTAAAGTCTCTAAAAAGTGAAATCTTTCCTTACAAAGATGTCTCATAGGATAAATAAAGTAAAGAGGGGTTAGTTATAACAGTAGCCATTTGTTTGGTGAAATCAATAAGTCCTAGGAGAATATAAATACAAATCTTTCATCTTCATTCCTCACAATAATTTAATTGCAAATGTGGAATGTGTGAACTTTTTTAAAAGCGGGTTTTGTGAGATTTGTTTGGACCATCTGTCTTCTTGACACTTGGAGATTTGAACCTAACTACTGAACTACGTCATTTGCATTTTTAAAGTGAGAAATTGGTTTTTTTAAAAAACTAAGTTCATATTAAGTTATGTATTAATCACTCAATCACAGTCATTATGTCTTTTTAAAAGTAAGAAGCTTGAGGAATATTTTTTTAAAAAATGGAATGATTTTTTTTTCTTATTGATAATGGTAAAGTAACTTATTGAATAAAGAAAGTTGAATGCAAGCTGTTCAAAATTGCTGTGTCTCAGATTCTCAACTGGATATCATTATGCCCAGTTATACTTGGCTTATTTATTGCTAGGCCTTCGCTGATTTTAAAATAATAATAACAAGAATAATAATGATGATACAATACCATGAAACAAAAATATTTGCCTATCCCAAGTCCTTGGGAAGCACTCAGTGGGTGGAAAAAATGCAAATACAGCCTAAACAGTTGGCTGACTGTGTGAC